AAAAAAAAAAAACCTCACCCTCCCTCTCCCCACAACAACAGTCTCCTCCGACCACCGCCCTTCTCCATCGGCTACCGTCGGCTAACCATATTCATCTTCTTCCCTGCAAATCACAACAGGCACGCGGCCGGCACAACCATATCAGTGCATCATCACCCTCTACAAATCCCACACAAACAACAGCCCAAAAAAACTAAAATCCACTCAAAATTTGGCACCAAAAAACACTGCCTGCGCAAGGTTTGGCACCAAAAAACCTGTAAATCAGCCTTCCCTTTCGACACCCAAAGCTGCGCAAGGTTTGGCACCCAAAACTGTAAGAATTTCATGCTTGGGAAATAGTTAAATCAGAGGGATGGGAATTTGAGGTAAGTTTAGAGGGGAATCGAATTGGGGAAATGGGACAGTTGATTTTTGGGAGAGTGTTGAGAGTGGAGAGGGATTTGAAGGCAGTGAGAGCTCGGGGGATGTCCCTAATCCACTCTGATAAGGAGAGGCTCTCTTGCTGTTGGGAGATAATGACTCGATGCCACTGTTAGGAGATGCCCCTTCACCAAATTCAGGCATTTCATCTTCTTGGACAGTTTCAAAATGCTAATCAGACTTGGTTCGAGCTACAAAATTGCAGACCTTTCCAAAGGAGGAGCCTATAGAAGGAAAAGAAGATTTAGGGGGTTTATTCTTTGAGGAGAATGGATGTCGAACCGAAGATCGACAACATGAAAATCACCATTAAAAGAGACTTGTCGATTAACAAGCTCACAAATCTAAAAAATCTTGTTAATATAATTTACCTTCCACAGTAAAGGTGTTGCAGGGAGAGCTGAATCTGGATTCTGCTCTAGGTTGTTCTAGATTGCAATTTTCTGCAAACTCTTGTCCCCCCTTACCGTTCTCAGTTAGATCACCTTCATCTTCTTCGAGCTCAACTTCTGTGCCTATTACACGAGAGCCCGATTCAGTAACCCAAAAATGTTTTAATCTTCAATCTATTTGAAATTAACGGTGGTGGTGCCGGCACAGTGCCGATAGTGTTGTTGGAGAGAGAGAGAGAGAGGTTTCTGTTTTTTTTTTTTTGTTTTTAATTTTAAATGTATTAATTGCAAAGTACCCATTTTGCCCTTGATGGATTTGGTTAATTTTGACTTTTTAGGTTGACTAACGGTTAAATGGATGGTTTCCATCCAAATGGACCTCCGCCGCATATTTATTAAAGGTTTGGGACCTTCGTTGCCACAAATCAAAGGTTAGGGTAAAGTGCGCAAAAATCTGAAAGGTTTGGGACCGCCACTGCAATTATCCCTAAATTTAATTTATTTTATGTAATTGAACATAAAGGGAAAAAGTGAGGATATACTTTTCTAAGACTTTAGTTCCACTTTTGATACACAATATTGGACGACATTGCACAAAACAACATACAAGATTTTTTAACTCCTTTTATTAATCTTGTCTAATGTTGTCCATTCTGATATATCAAACATTTCTTAGGATAAAAATTAGGAGTTAATTGTCTTTTGGGTTTCGAAGAGATTCAAATAGAAACATTAACTTACCTTCCATATAACTTTTGGCNGAGAGAGAGAGAGAGAGAGAGAGAGAGAGAGAGAGAGAGAGATGTTTTTGTTTTTTTGTTTTTTTAATTTTAAATGTATTAATTGCAAAGTACCCATTTTGCCCTTGATGGATTTGGCTAATTTTGACTTTTCAGGTTGACTAACAGTCAAATGGATGGTTTCCATCCAAATGGACCTCCGCCGCATATTTATTAAAGGTTTGGGATCTTCGCTGGCACAAATCAAAGGTTAGGGTAAAGCGCGCAAAATTTTAAAAGGTTTGGGACTGCAGCTGCAATTATCCCTAAAATAATATTACACGCAAATTCAAAATTTTAATTTATTTTTTAATCACATATTCTCCATTATAATATAATATACAAAATGCATTTTTTGAAAAAAGGGCTCTAATAACCCCTAAAATTATTCGATCCTGACTTGGACTAGTGTACTAAACTAATTACCCCAAATGCATAAGATACTAATTTTTTTCTTTGAACTCCAACGAATATATAAAATAAAATATATTTAAATTCATAAACGTTAATATTAATACAAATTAACAAACTTTTAATTTGACAATATTTTTTTCCAAGTTGCCTCTCTTTGCAAATGTGTGTCTAAAGTCTTTTGCTTTAACCCACAGTTAGAGGTGGCAATCGAGTCGAGCGGTTCGTCGGCTCGACTCGTAAAAAAGCGGCTCTTGAGCGGCTCAGACTCGTCAAAAGACAAGCTCGAGCCATTGTTTTAACGAGCAATGAGCCGAGCGTGGGATCGTAAAAAATGTGAGAGAAATAAACTAAAAAAAAACCATGCGCTTGTCAAGCTCGTGGGCCGAGCCGAGCTCGACCCTTGAGCACGAGCCGAGCTCATGGGTAGATGGGCCGGGCCGAACCCACCGTTGCAAATCTTTTTAAGTATGAGAGGGATGTTCATTTTTATATTCACGCGATGCTCTCCTCTTCTCACAGGTCAGTGTTGATTTTTTAACTCCTTTTAAATAAGACACACGTCGCCGTCGTCGCGGAGCCCATCGCCGCTTCCTTCTCCGCCACCACAATTTCAGTCTCTCCAGTCAACCATTCACCATTGCCGCCTATTTTCCCCTCCTGTCTCTGTCCCAGGCAAAGCTCGCAGCAAACGCTCTCGCGCCACCCCCTGTGAGTAATCCTCCCGTCTCCACCTCCTCCTCCGCCTCCTACACTCGCTATAATAATATCACCACAAACACAGACGCAGAGCAATGAACCCTATAAAAATTTGAATTAAAGCAACTCCAATTACACTTATTACAGTAGCTTATAAACAAGGAGGCTGATTAATGGTGAATTAAAGCAACTCCCAGCATTTATTACACTCATTAACTGTAAATTATAAACAAGGATGCTGGTTGCACGTGTGTGGCGCAGGATCCTGATTGGGTGCTGGACGTGGCACCCAAAAAATAAAATCTTGGTATACGAGCAAAATGCAATTTTCACTTAAAGTTACAGTCAATCGTCATTCCCAAAGGCCATTCAGTATATTTTTGGATGAGGGGGACTCCGCGGCGACGTGTGTCGGAATGAAGTAGAGGTTGAGGGGGTTGCGGAAGAAGGAGATGGGTGGGGTGGGGTGGGGTGGGGTGGGGTCGGGGGTTGTAGTTTTTTTTTTAATTTTTAATTTAGTCGAGAAAATGTATTATGTCAAAAATGTCCTTACCTTATTCAGAGAAAATTATTAGATTTTTAATTTTTAGGTCAACTGACGGTTTTTGAGGTCAAACTAATAGAAACCGTTATTTTGGACTTTGGTTGCGATTTTTTTAAAAGTTTGGTATCGTGGTTGGTACAAATGAAAGGTTTGGACAAAATTCGTAACTAACTGAAAGGTCTGGTACCTCGGCTGCAATTTTCCCTAAGTACAATTAAAACGTCGTTGAACTTCGACGCAGATAATTTTACTGTCTAGACGTATAGGGTTTCCAATTGATTTCAATACCTCCATTCTGCCATTTTTATTTCAATCGAACAGGTACATCTTATTTCTGATAGTACACTCGTTTTTATCGTTCAATTCAAGCGTTTGTATCAATTTGCTCCACGGTTTTGATGAGAAAAAGGGTTTTTTGGAAAGTCAGAAAAAGAGTAATTTGGTACAATTAAATTCAGGCCTTGGGTTTCACCATTGTGAATGTTTTATTTAGATATGGCTTGAATTCATATCAGTTGGGTGGGTTGGGGCGTGGGCAGTATATTCTGAAGTATATTGTTTTCTTTTAGCATTTTCTTTCAGTTTCTAAAATTTCTGTATTTTTTTTTTCTCGCACCTGAATTCCCAAATGTAAAAATTGCCTTCTTGGTATCTTTGTGAGAACTCGATTTATTTTTGTAGTCTTAACGTTTTAATTACATTTAATACAGATGAGCCAGCCAGAGCATTATTCAACAGATGCAAGTAATTTCTTTTCCCCAATATTTTTTAATATTGTTAGATTCAGGTCTTCAAGATTGCCGAAGTAGCAGATGAACATGTTTCAGTTTAGAGTAATTTAGAAGTTAGAACTGATTATTTTTCTTCAGCAATCAGTCAGGATCTGTTTAATATCTCCCAGAAAGAGCTTGTTATATGAATATTAATTTAGTAACTTAATTGCTGTGTTTATTGTGTGAGAAGAGCATGCCAAAGGTACCGAAGTTTTTGTTGGTGGATTGCCCTCTACAGTATCTGAAGACAAAATCAGCAAGGTCAATCTTTCTCTTCCTTCATCTTGTATTGGCAGCTATATATTGTAGAGTGTTACAGTCACACAACCCATTTTTGTAGTGTGAAGGAAGCATAAGCAAATTGATTAAGTAAAGAAGAGCAGAAAAGGAAAGAACTAGGTCTTCTTAGACGAACATTCTCTTTTAGCCTCTTGTTAGCTATCTCTTTTAGAGCTGGCCATTTGGGCTGCGGTTTGGACCATGTAAATGAATTCATTGAAATGGAAGACAGTACAATTTGTCTCGTATGTGGCTCATAATGGCTGGCAACATTGCTTTAAAACTATTGGCTGAGAGCTAAATAAATTATTACGAGGATTTTTGACACATTAGATGTCTCTCTGCATGCGTAATTTAACTCCCCGTGTACTTATTGACTAGGCGAAATGGACACTGTTTATTATTTATCAACAAATGTTTCCATAATTGTCGAGTTTCAAATCATTGCACATGAATGTTATGATCATGTATAAAGTTAACTTCCATTATCCATGCATACTCCATAAATTATGGAAAAGACTTCGAGGTCTAGATATATTCAAATATTTTGCGTTGAAACTTCCTCCTATTCAGGTATTCTCTGGTTGTGGCGAAATTGTGGAAATTCGTATGATAAAGGACCAGAAAGGCAATTTAAAGGTTTATCTTACATAATTCATTTGCTTTCCTCTGGTTTGATTACTTTTAATTCCCACTTCCTCACTCCTACCATCTAGCATCCCCTCCCCAAATGTAGCAAGAAGCTAAATTGTTGGTACCATCTTCTTATGCTGTCCCTTCCTTTTTAATGTTGACAGGGATTTTGCTTTGTGCGCTTTGCAACAAAAGAGGCTGCAGACAAAGCTGTGAAGGAAAAATCTGGAATTGTGGTGAGAATTAAATTTGCATTGTTCAATTTTTTGTTGGTTATAATTTATTACTAGTGAACCCTTTTCCATGGAGATTCTACTTCTAGAGTGATCGGCCTGTGAATTTTGTTTAAAACTCTGAAAATCAAAAGTATGCTAATTCGGATCATTGCAGCAGCAACGTGCTCTTAAAATTGTCCACTTCTCAATAAGGACATGTATCCTGAATCCTACTAAATTGGTTGATCGACCGAATAACCACAATGCCAATGCATTTATTTCTTAGGATCGTAATTTTTGTCAACCAACCCTATTATCACTCATAGTAAGAGCTACCTCGAGCTGTGCTTTGGCTGCTCAAGCTTGGCTTGATTTTGCGAATGGGTTGAAAAAAATCCTCAACTTTTGTTCGCTTATGTTTCAAAGTCAAACCTAGCTTGAAAATATTAGCATCTTAAAAATATATCATGTCAACTTGTCATATTCTTGAATTTATGTTAAACAAGCTTTAAATAAGCTGAACATGAGTCGATCATTAGTTGCTACAACATATTTATCCACTCTTCTTTAGCTATCAGTTTTCTTGATACTACAACTTATTTCTGGAGTATTCTTAATGGGATTAAGGTTATATCTCTCGTGAAATGCAGATCATTTACACCCTGGTATTAAATTAATATTTTAATCTGGTCTTGGTAATATTCTTTTGGTAGTTATCTCAATTTGCTTTTAGCTGTTCAGAGTTCAGGCACTATCAACGTGTCAGTTGTCTCGACTAATTTAAACCCTTATTTTACTGAAATAGCAGGTCAATCACCTGCTATTTATGTGATATGGATTTATTGTATTAACCGTTTTAAGTTAATTCAGCCCCTTAGACTAAGGAAGTTCTTTCTCTACTATGTGAAAAAATTACTGCAATATGGAAGAACCTATGGGCGACCCTCTCCCTCTCTCTTCCTTGGGGGAAAGGGACTTGGAATTTCACTGACAGCTTTTTTTTTGCGTGATTTATTCACTCGTATGGTTATTTGGAATGCATTACACCGGATGTGAGATTTTGTTGACCCTTTTTTGAATTCTTGCTTGGCCTTTTCCTAAACTTGGAAAACTAAACCTTCTCTCTACTAGAATATTTAATTCGATTCAGGTTGTTTTCTTTGTTTTTAATCTATTGGCAACATTTAGAGCCTACATTTTGGTTCTCTCACTATGTTTCTATCTTTCAGGTAGATGGAAAGAAGATTGGCGTTCTCCCATCAATCCAGCAGGATACCTTACATTTTGGAAACCTTAACAAAGGTTCATCCCATCTCATATTGCAAATTTCTGATAAGAAATGCATACAAGTACCATAACTCTGTTCCTAGGTTAGCCATCAGTAGGTTATTTCCTGCTGTGCTGGATGCAGAAACTAAGGGGCCGTTCTCTTTTGCCGTTTTGGATCGTTTTCTGTTTTCTGTTTTCCAAAACAGTGAAAACGCGTTCTCTTTCCTATTTTCGAAAACGCGTTTTTGAAAACGAAAAAAAATTTGTACACAAAACACAAAACGAAAAAAAATCATTTTGGGCGTTTTCAAGCCAAACCCACGAAAAAATTAAAAACACGGGAAACAGCCACTTTCACTTTCCAACCCTCTTCTGCCAAAACAATGGAGTAGCCACTTCCAACCTTGTGAACTCCGGCCATCCTCCTCCACCACCACCGGAATTGCATACCATTGTGAAGCCCTCAATCCCTTCTTCAATAATCACACAAACCACTACCCAAACATATACCAAAATCAATCAAAAATCATCCTCAACAATTGAACTTGCGAAAACTGCTTCAGCCGAAATCTCTACCTCCGGTGACACCCAGGGTCGGGCACCACCACCGGTCGATTGCCCACCCCCAGACGTCTCCAGCCATAGCTCCAATTTATCCAAAATGTCGATCCAACGAAAACGCAAAATGGCGATCCAACCACTGCCAAAATCACCACAGCCACCGCCTGCACCAACCACCGGTCGATTGCCCACCCCCAGACGTCTCCAGCCATAGCTCCAATTTACCCAAAATGTCGACCCAACCACAGGCAAAATGGCGACCCAGCCGCAGGTAAAATGGTGACCCAACCACTGCCAAAATCGCCTGCACCAACCATCGCCTGCACTAACCACCCCATCAAAGAAAGAAAAAACAAAGATGAAGAAGGAGATCACAGGGAGAGCAGAGAGAGAACGGGGATAAAGAGAGAGAGAGAGGACGACCGAAAAGGAAATGGAAATGAAGAGAGAGAGAACGCGTTTTCGTTTTTTATTTTCGAAAACCGTTTTTGAAAATGTCAAAAAGAACACATTTTCCAAAATTTCAAAATAGACACTCAAAACACAAAACACAAAATGAATTCAAAACTCAAAACACAAAACTGAAACACAAGAGAACGGCCCCTAAATCTTTCTTATTTGAGTTTCTAAAATACCTTTTCGTAGTGGCGTGCAATATAATTGAGTTTCATAGTCTTCATATACGTATGTCTTTTTTCGAGTTCAATGACTAAAAGGTGCATCTTTTAATCTGAATGTTTTGCACTGGAATCATGTGCATTGCATTAAAAGATTTCCCCCTTGTTTGTGGTTCTTGCCCCTTTCCATTTCCCCTTGTGCATTAATTAATTTTAACTTTTGATAAAGTATATCATTGTCGTTCCGTTTCCTTAGTTTTCTTCCTTCGCCAGTTGTAGTTTTGACTCGTAAATTTCTTTTGTCCACTCTATCCGTTGATGTGAAGAACAGTTTCTTGTTGATACACATGCCTGACTGCTTGATTTTGTATGTTGTCAAGGTTGGAGTGCTGATGAATTCGAAAAACTTGTTCTCCAGGTCAATTTTTTTTCTTTCCAATAGTTGAACCAATTTTTTTTTTTGAAGTAATATGTTAAATAGCTCCTTGTTTCTCTTCTCCACTCGATAATGTATTCTTCCACTACAGGTTTTTCCTGATGTTGTATCTGTTGATCTGGCAATGCTCAAAGACTTGCCACCTGGTCAAAAGCAACGGAACCGTGGTTTTGGTTTTGTGAAATTCTCATCTCATGCAGTGAGTTTCTTTTTGCTTTCAAATATGTTTGCTTTGTTAATAAATCTTGCATTATCATTTTTCAAGTTTGTTTGCAATATTAAGTTCACTCTTCTGTTGTATCTGAAATCATACAGGAAAAAATCTCAGGTTCGTGGTTTTGTTTCATCCTGAAAATTCCGGTTCTTGTTATGGCAATTGGTTGACTGATAATTATAAAAGATGCTCCTCTTCAATTTAGACAAGACAAGAAACCAAAATAACTTCCAGTAGTTAAAAAAAGGTTTATATGTTATTTGGAATACAATTTTACGATAAGTAAAATGTGCTCATATTTTTACATTATAACATATAATCGTGCAACTCCAAACAAACATACGAATATATTAGTGGAAAACCAATCATAATCCTCCAATTCTATAATTCTGTTTTTTTCTCCTGAAATCAAGAAACTTCCATTACAGATGTGTTGGTTTTAGTGGCTGTTCATTCTAATGTTGATTCCCTCGCATTATCTGGTAAAAGTTATGATATTTATGGAAAACAAATTTCTCTCTTTGTGCTTCTTTTCTTGAAGTTAACTTTCGATATACTTTTGTATTGAATTCCATAAAGGGCTGTGTGTTATTGTTTCAGGTTCTGTCTAAATGGCGTTGTTCTCCTCTTTTTTTTTTTCTTGTGGAAACTCTGCGATATTTTTTTGGTTCTTTATTCAGCGCCTTCATTATAACCATTCTTTTTCTCTGCCATTTCTTTTCTTGAATGTTTTTCCCTGATTTATTGGCAATGGATGTCAAATAGCTGGTGCACTTTTAATTTGTTGAGTCTTTGCTGTATAACAAAATAGCTATTTGAGATTAAAACCATAGAAATATCAAGTAATAAAACATTGTTATCCTAGTTCTTTTCTAGAGACTATCTTTCAGTATGGTGCTTCTTGTGGTGTGTTATATGAATATCTAAAAATGCTCTGGTTTCTTCAGCAAAGCCCAATATTATTTGCCACTTGCCAGTATTAAAGGTTCCTGTAATCTAAAATTGTCATAGGATAACTCTTCTGGTTTGTTCTGCTATGAGTTCCCTTGCTGTGAATCTTATGTGCAACTTTCTCTGTTCTTGTTACACCAAACTCTTGTTCAACCCCAACTCTGAATCCAGCTGAAGTCTATCCTGTCCAACATTTTTATCAGTGTTTGTCCTATCAGCCTTGCTTACCTTCTTCTGGTTAAAGAATATTTACCAACTACCTATCAAAAGAATATTTACCAACTAAACTTCTGGAAACATATTCATCTGGAATCTCTCTATACACACACACACATATATATGAGCTTGATAACTCGACTGAGCCATGTCAAAACTCCCCTTTGTAAACAACAATAACAACTAAGTATCACTCCCAAACACACCTTTGTGATAAAACTCATTATTATCGGCAGGTTGGCTTGCATCTCTGCAGATCTACTTTTGCCCCTCAATATGCAATCCTTCACCAATTTTATAAATCATTACTTCTACAATAGAAGGCTGATAAAAATCCAAAATTAAACCTGCCTCTTCAAAATTATCAATCACAGGCTGCTGCACGTGCCCTAAGGGTGGGCTCCCAGTCGGATTTTCGTCTTGGTGGAAAACTGCATCCATCTGTTCAGTGGGCCGAGGAGGAATGTGAAGTTGATCCAACAGAACTTGCTAAGGTTCGTTATCAGTGCCTTCTATTACTTATGCATGCCAATTTTAAAGTCTTTCACTATACTTATGAATTTATTCTTTGACTCAGGTAAAAATAGCTTTTGTCAGAAATCTGCCAACTGATGCAGATGAGAACTACTTGAAGCAATTGTTTGAGCATTTTGGCAAGGTTTTACACATGTGCCCTTGATTTTGCGTTGCTTATATTATATATCTACCTTTTAATCATATGTAATGTTATCTTTCTACCATCTTTCAGGTAGATAAAGTAGCGATATCCAGAAAGAGCTCCTCCCCAGTTGCGTTCATTCACTTCACAGAACGATCAGTGAGTTGTCTTAAACCTGCTCATATTTGTCGTAACTTATCAGATGGTAGCCTCCTAGTCAATCTCTATTTCTGATTTTACTGGTTAAATTGGCATATGGTTGAACTTATGACATGGAGTCACAACTTTTTGTTTCATTATAGCCTTTCATCTTGTCCTCACTATCCCCTGCACATGGGCACATCTACACCCATCATACAAACATTTTGGCCTCCCTGTATTTCATTTGTGGTCCTTCCTCAATCCCTCCCCTTCTCTTCACTGTTTGATGCCTTTCATAGTCCATACACAAAACTAAACCACACAGCTTGCACGCTAAGGCAGAGGTACACAGGACGACTAACTGAAGCACAGTTCATGCACACAGCAATATGCTCATATTCATTCACAAGGACGCCACTATGCCAGGTACATTAGGCAGACAGAAACACAACTTGTGCACATAGTGATGACTGATGTGCTCATATTCATTCACAAGTTTGCTGGATACATTAGCATGCTTTCAATGGATTAGAGCAGCCTCCCAGATTTTTGAACAAATTAGCGTAAATCAATGGTTCTTGTACCCAGTAAATTAGGAAGATCAGCTAAATGTTGCAAGCTTTAAAGTGACATTGCACTTTATAGCTACCACGTAAACACAAACAAGAGAAGATTAACAATAGAAAAGTGGCAGATGCAATTAGCATTGCTTGTGTTGGGTTCTAACTTCCAACTTGGATATTGCCATCGACAAAGTGGTTGCACTAGAAGAGATGGAAAACCCAGTTGTCTGTGTTTTTTCTTTCCAGTCCATCCCTTTGCGAAGAGTGTGAGGTGGGGCCTGCACCAGAGACACTTGAAAGTATGCGACTTGAGATATAACACATGTTTCGTGAGGCTTCTCCATTCTCATTATCTAAGGACTATGAGCTACTCTGGTTGTGCAGTTCTATAAGAGTTAATAGTGATATATATTTGAAAATATTTTGGTGCATTGGGTCACAGACTTGATCCATTAAGTTAACAACATAAGTGGATTTAGATAGATCCATATGCATTCTGATAATATCAATTCTTTTTGTTGTTTCGAATATACATTCCATTGTGAAGTGGAAGATCAACTCATTGATCTCTATAGAGTTACACAGTGGTAGTGGAAAGGGGTGGCAATGTGCTAATTTTTAGTGGGTTATGGACTGGCAAAGGTAAGAGATATGGAGAGGCTGAGGGAATTTTCGTACATTCATTCATTTGTTTTTTTTTTTTTGTAATTCCAATATTGCTTGTTTTATATTTTCTTCTCTATCTGTGCATTGCTGCTTTCATGTTTTATCTAAACCATGAAGACAGTTGAAATGCCATAGTCAAATGCTCTACTAGTTTGATCCGGCAAACTGACTTGTAAGTTCGGTGCTGATTTCTTTTAATTCTCGGTATAGGATCTTGAAAGAGCTATAAACACAATGAACGAGAAAACAATTCAAGGACCTAATAGTGGTCCATTGGTTAAACTCCAGGTAATTATACTTGCAACAGAAACTAATCCAAGAACTCTAATCTTGTACTAAAAATATTACATCTGATATTATTTTCTGCAAACAGGTTGAAGTTGCAAGGCCTACAGGCAGAAGCAAGAAGCGAGCTCATGAGGATTCACACAGCAGTCCTGCTATGGTTCAGGTTCATTCCAAACTTTTAAAGGAGGAAATAATCGCCAGTCCATCCATTAATCTCCAGAAGGTGAAGCAGTCTCTTAATGTCATTTGTTCCATCAATTGGTTTCTTAATTTTTTTTGTGATTTTCAACCTGGGAAGAACATTATGGCTAAGAATATTTTTCTACTAAAACACAATTATCAAGAATTTAGTATGTTAAAATTAGTAGCTGTAGTCTGTAAAACCTGTAATAAATTTGTATTGAAAATGTTGCATTGCCTGCAGTTGAGCTTCAGTTCTTGTGCCTGTATTATCCACTGTTTTTGTGCTAGATCGTGTCCTGCTGTGTTATGAGTTGTCTCCTTTGTGGTTCAGTGGACTTCAAACAAATTGTCCATCCTTCTGTTCTAAATTTTATTTGCTTGTTGAATCTAGAGGGCAAAGGAAATTTATAGTGAGCTTTTCCTAGTATCATATTTCTCTTATAATTTGATCTAGCATTTTCTTTTCCACCAGGAATTGGAATATGCTGCTGACCCTTATGAGGCCGCTGTAGTCTCTTTACCTTTATCTATTAAAGAACGTTTACTCCGGATCCTACGGCTTGGAATTGCTACTCGTTTTGATGTAAGTTTAAAATTATCATTATAAAACAGTATGTGTGATAATGCAATGATTTCAAAAATTAATATCGTTTATTTAATGTCATAGTTTGTTTGATATTAAACAATATCATGGGAGCAAAATTCAGCTAACTCCAACTCATTGTTGAAGATCGTATATGATTAGTGGTAACTTTTTCACAATCTCGAGAGAAGTTGCATTTATGCAGCCACCTTGGTCTTGGAGCCTTTATCCTTTCACCATGTCTATTTGCATTGATGCTCTCTTTGCATCATGTCTTCCCTTTTTAAGATTTTGCATGTCATCTTGCAATTGGTGAAAATCCCAAAACCTCCCTGTTTCTTCAATTTCTTGATGTACTTCGTGCATGTTAAAGGCGTAATTGCTTAAGCTGGTCAAACTCTAATTTATCCCATTTCGTAGGACTTGCAACTTTCACCTACTTTAACCCACTTATTATCCACACATATTGTAGGATCCCAAATTATAATCTAATAAAAGCTGTGCTGAACATGTATTTGATATAGTCCTCTCCCCTTGTCCATTTAGAAAACCAATGGATCTGGACCATTGCATGTAGCTGCCTTCTTATTTTGTGCATCACTCTTCCTGGTGTAAATCATCAGAACTTAAACATGATGATGTACTGTATTTATCTTTACACTATTATCTGAAATTTCAATTATTTGATCTCGTCTGTTGACAGATAGACATACAACATCTGAGCAGTCTCAAGCAGATACCTGAATCTGCAGCTATATCTGTCCTTGACCAGGTTTCAGAGAAATCTTAATTATTTTTTCCTGGATAACTGATTTAATTTATTGACGCTTTATTTTTCCTTTCAAGAACTTATACTTGAGTATGTAATGCTGTGGTCACAAATTCTTTGGAACATTTTAAGATTCCCATGTCTTGCTTTGCAGTTCATGTTATCAGGAGCTGGTTTGCAAAATAAGGGAGCATATCTTGCTGGTTTAGTTTCTAAAGTATGTAACTGAACTGTGACATCTATGCATAGGCATGCTTTAGTTTTACCGCTGTTATCATTTACTATTGCTTTTGTTCTTAGTATTTCTGTCCCTATGTAGTACCTGGTTGATAAAGCGGGACGTAGTGAAAACTTAGCAAGTTTGTCAAGAGTAGTGGATGTAACTGCAAAAGAATCTAAGTTATTCAGCTTCCCTAGTCGAGTAACTGTACCAGCAATTGACTCTTTTGATCCGAACATGCGCCCAGTGGCCAGGTTAGTATTCTGGTTCCAGTGTCTAATTGTGCTTTTCAATTAACTAAATCTTTTAGCTATATAAATTTTAATGAAGTATATGAATTTATGACCAATGCACATGAATAAAAAAAGCACAGTTAAAAATTTGAAAGACTGGCCAATCTTTTTAGAAGGTCTCTCTTTCACTGGTCCAAGTGAAAAGTGTGACCACAAAACCTTTCTTTTAAAAAGTCGTCTTTCACCTCAGTATAATTTATGCCTGTGAAACATACTTTCTATCACACATTTTATGGATCATTCTACTCACAATTTAAGTTGGTCAAACACACTATGCCCCTGTTTGAGCTCCATTTCTTATCCAAACTCATTTTCAACCTGACATTTCATTGAATCTACAATTTTTATCAACTTTTCAATCGCACATTTTATCAACTTTATCTAAATCTACTAAAATTTTTATTTTTATCTATTAGAATCCCACATTGCTTAGGAAAATATAAATGATCCATTAATAAGGTGAGGACAATCCTCCCCCAATAAGTCGGTTTTATTTGGTGGAGTTAGGCCCAATATTCCTAACATGGTATCAGAGCTAGGCCCAATTATGCAATATTGGGTGCCGCCCAATATCGATTTGTTCACGGTTGTTTGGCGTGGTCCACGCTGTGCGTGAGGGGGCTAATTTTTATCAACTTTTCAACCGCACATTTTATCAACTTTATCTAAATCTACTAAAATTTTTATTTTTATCTATTAGAATCCCATATTACTTAGGAAAATATAAATGATCCATTAATAAGGTGAGGACAATCCTCCCCTAATAAGTCGGTTTTATTAGGTGGAGTTAGGCCCAATATTCCTAACATGGTATCAGAGCTAGGCCTAATTGTGCAATGTTGGGTGCCGCCCAATATCGATTTGTTCACGGTTGTTTGGCATGGTCCACGCTGTGCGTACGGGTGCGTATTAGAATCTCACATTGTTTGGAAAAATATAAATTATCCACTTAATAAGGTGAGGGCAATCCTCCCCTAATAAGCCGATTTTATTANAGCCGGTTTTATTAGGTAGAGTTAGGCTCAATATTCCTAACATTATCAAAACCAAACAGGGGCTATTTATCCATACATTCTATGGATCCATAGCTTATTACCTACTATTTATCCACACATTTTGTGGGCCCGGCTACTGAAATTTTAATTTAAGCATTCCCAAACAAGCACTCAGTTGTCTAGTTTCCCCTTGTTAAAAGGGTCTTCTTCTCCAACACATCATCTTTTCATTGTTACAAACCTTCACCACTGCTTCCCTTCCGCCGCCCCAACCTGCCCACTCTTCACCCACCCTCCTTTTCCCCCCGTTCCACATCCCCCATTTCAGCTTAGAAACTCCCGGGTAAAGGAAAGGGGGGCTATTTATTGGCGGTTTTGAGGGAATTTTAGTTTCATATATTGCAATATGAGGAAGGTGGCATCATTTTATAGCTGAAATTTTGCAGGTCTGGAACTTACATGCCGCGCTATTCACTTTCTGATTATCCTTTATCAAGTCATGTAGCTGTAGAAAAAGAGGAGATGAGAGGCTCAGATTTTGTTTTTTCAAGCGGAGCATCAGTAGGAAGACTGGTGGAGAGAAGCATTTCTCCTTTCGAGGCAACACCAACTTCATCTTATGCAAGAGTCGGATTAGGTTTAAGAGGGGACGGTACACACCTTTCTCCCCCACAGCCAGCACCATTTTCATCTAGAACTTACCCAAGAGTTGGAGTAAATATAAGTTCTGGCATTACATCTGATACTAATCGCCAAGCAACTCGCCCTCAAGTTAGGTTTGATCCCTTTACGGGTGAGCCTTACAAATTCGATCCGTTCACTGGTGAACCTATTAGTCATGAGGCTATACACCGACCCCCCTTCTAAAAACTGTTTTAATCCTCTGTATTGAAATGCTTTTTTAGTTCTTTGCATCTAGATGCAATAGCAATACTGAGATAACATTACAATGTTGTATGTTAAATACTTATGTTGGGCAAATTATGCCCTTGCTATTTATTGCGAGATCACTGTTTTGCCTTGTCCTGCACCTCTTCATGTTTTTGTTTGTCACTGGACAACCTTTTTCTAAGTAACATGAGCAGACATATTAGGCAGAGGAATAATAATGTTCATATATATGATAGTGATCATTGTAATCACAAACTGATTTGTTTATTATGCAAGCTACCCTTTTGGAATCCTTTCGACCTGCGAGCACAGACACACACAGTCTCCCTTGAAGGGATACTGAACCTCGGCTCCACAGGTAATCTCATCTTCTACTAGTAGTCGGATTATTCTTAAAGGGACTAATTAATTAACTATAATGAATGGATAATTGTGTAAAGGAGGGGGGAAAGAGGTGGGATAGATCAGTTGGATGAAGGGAATGTGTAGAACATTGAGTACATTTCTTGTCTCACATGAAAAGGTACAATGGTCTTCTTGCATGTGATGTTCCATGTGCATTCTTTCCTTTTATTTGTCTCTTTCTTGCATTTGAGGCTTCAAGTTTGTGGTCCATACAGCATTCACATGTGCCCTTTTGGGAGGCCAAATCCATCCCACACGGGCCACACTATACAACTAGCTTGGAACCGCCCTTTTTAACAAGTGAAATGACTAGATTGCTCTTTGGTTTTTTAAATGATTGGACTCTTCTCTTTATGACCTTTTGATCGTGTTGATTCTTTCCATGTGCATTCTTTCCTTTTACTGATTTTCTCAAAATTAATTTTCCTCCCACTCATTTTCAATCACATTCCGTGCTTAATTGTCAAGTGTGATGTTAATCTTGTTTTGTGCATAAAGCACGCTTGTCATTATCGACCAGTATGGAAAGATATTATGTACCAATCAAGATAAAGAATGATTTTTGATCTAAAATTGAGAAAATCAATATTAATACGTACATCTACTACAAAATACACTAGTACTTCTACATAGAATACCTTCCAACAAATTATTTTAGTATAATATTAATTGTTATGATATCAACAAATATAATTTTAATCTTATCTAAACAATGCTAAGGGTTCACGATATTGTCGCTAACGTGTTAGTTGATTTCTAAAACATGTCCCCCATGTGAGTATAAACACTACCTATTGCTTAGGGATGACAACGATATGAGTATGAGACCGGTCTGAAAAATGCAAGATTTGACCCAACTACACATAGGGGGGGTGATTAGGTGTAAATGCGGAATTAAAACTTTAATCAACAAGTCACAAGTTAATTATGTTTACGTGATTAGTCAAACAATTCAATTAGTCATATCTTTGAATACCACAGTAATATCAAAACAGTAAGGACAGTAGTAAACAACACCAGAATTGTTCACGGAGAAACCCAACGCGGGAAAAACTCAGAGCACTTTGCTTGTCAAAGATTCACTATAAACTTTTGATAAACTTACAGACTACCAACAAAGTTGACGATACAAGTTTTCTGTTCTCCTGTCTGAAGTTTGAAGCAGCCTTCCTGCAATGTGCACACTAACACCAATCCTGACTCTTCTTTTTAAAGTAGTCCTTCTGGAATGAGCACACGAACTCCAATCCTGACTCTTTACGCAGTTTATCTCCTGTAGATCTTCCCAAAAACTCCTCGTTCTTCAACTTATTCCTTGATCTTCAAAAAGGGCAAAGTTGACTACACAATCTTTCTGACAGACCCAAGCGAAGAATGCAATTCAGTGTTTGACTTGATGGATCTGATGTTTTCAATATAATGAGCGTATATATGATTGAAGGATAGAACTTTTGATCTTGTATAAGATGAATTCTCTCTAGAAAATAGTATGTTCTCTACCTAGTAGAATATGTGGCGCTTCTATTTATAGGTTGGACAGTTTAGGTAAAATGGGCCAAGTAAAAGTCTTGGAAATCGAAATTAGGTCTGGCTGAAAAATAAGTCGCTTGAGCGAGGAGGACATTTCGCTTGAGCGAAGGGTCTGTTGCTCGAGCGACAGTGGGACGAAGGTTGAGCTAGGATGTTCCTGCTTCATCCGCTCAAGCATGACTCCGGCGAGCAGCTAGCGAAAAATTGGCGTGAATCCTTCTTGTTCCAAACATGAAACCCCAAACCCTAAGCTAACATATCAACTATGAAACTTTACAATTTAGTCCCTAAACTTTTATAATCGTTCAAGTTGATCATTTTGTTCATAAAATCACCAATACAAATATAAACCTAATAGGGTCGACCATTCTCACCCCTGTTCCATCAGGTATTTTTGTTACCTTGCCCCCATCCCTGTACCCGTTTAAAGTAGGACATGGCAGGTTCAAGGATAGGCGAGGCGGAGCGAGGCCCATTTATCGCCCAATTTATTTTTATTTTTTGCTTTTATTTTTTATATCTTTATTTAGTAAATATTATTAATTTTTTATCAATTTGTTAGAAACAACTTATATTCTCTTTAAAAATATGATAAATCTATTATTTTTATTTGACAAAAAACTTAAATTTAGAACTAATTTTAAATGGGACAGGTAGCGGGGTGGGGACTATGATTCCCGTACCCGCTTTGGGGCAATGACCATCGCCCCGTCCTCACTCCGTTTACCTGATTAGGCGGGTAATCTCTGTCCCGCTTGGGGTAGGGCTCCACGGGTTTCAGGTTGAAATATTTTTTTGTCATCCCTACTATTGCTCTACTTTGATGCACACGATCATGTCTAACCAAATTAAGATAATGGTTACCTAATGATGCATGCTTAGCCAAATTAGGACAATGGCATTATTTCATAAAATAATACACACACACACACATGTATGTATGTATGTATGTATGTATGTATGTATTTCCATCGTATATTCAGAATGGTATTGTTGTAATTTCTTTACAAACAAGTGGCATTATTCCACTACTCACTTATACATACATACCCCATATAGCACTCGTTATACCATCATCCCCTATTAACTACTTCCGCCACCATTCCTCGTTACTCCGCTGCCTCAAATGGGTTCACAGACAAGAAATTCCATAAACATGGTGATGAGGAAGAGGAAAAGAAGGTCCTCTAAAGTTCAGAGAAGCTCTTGACCCTACGATATTGGTAGAACCTATTGACATGAGTTGTATATCAGGGAAGATCATAGAAGAAGATTGTGGCTATAATTAAGAGTCAACTTTTTGTTAGCAGAAATAAGAGTAATTTGTGTATAACCATATTTAGAGGATATGATCGGCTCTATATATATTCATTCATCTCTGTACATTTAAAAAAAGAAATGTAAATTTTATCTTTTCACTACATGTAGACATGGTATCAGAGTAATATACAAACCCTTGCTCTTTGGTATCTCTAGTAGCCTAAGTTTTTTTCTTCTTTTTGTGAGTGTAGTTTGTTCTGCCATGGTTGACACTGACTCTCAATATGGTGATTCTCCATCATCTTCTATCTTGATTGAATTAATGACAAAGATGACTGAAGTTTTAAGTAAAGCTTCAGTCCCGACCCCGACATCAGACGTTAGAGCTGCTCTGATTGGCATCAAGTTGGATGGCTCCAACTATGCCCTTTGGTCCTAAATTGTTGAGATGTATATCTTAGGTAAAGACAAATTGGGATATATAAATGGTGGTCTTGATCAACCTCCTTCAATGGACCCAAGGTTCAGAAGATAGAGGATAGACAATGCAACTGTTAAAGGCTGATTAATTAACTCCATGGAACCATCCCTCATTAGCAATTTCATTAGATACCGACGGACAAGCAGGTATGGGATGCCATCGCCACTACCTTTTTTGATGGAGTAATGTTATTCATCCCCAATGGGGATGAAAACACAGTTTATGTGGTTTTAAATTATAAATTAAATGAAAAGTGAAATTAAATGACTTATTTAATTTCACCTATCATTTAATGCCACATTGATGCCACGTAAACTTTGTTTTCATCCCCAGTGGGATGAATAACATTACTCTTTTTGATGACAATGACACTTCTCAAGTGTATGACCTTCGACGCCATGTGACACGACTCAAACAGGTTGGTGGTTCACTAGAGAAATACTATAACGATTTGCAGGGCCTTTGGCGAGAGATAGACTTTTGTCGCCCAAATCCTATGGAGTACCCAACTAATGTGAAGCGTTGTAACTCCATTATTCAAGAAAACAAAGTGTAAATATTCTTGGATGGACTTGATGATCACTTGGACCAGATTATGAGTAGTGTTCTGCGGATGGAACCTTTCCTTATTGTGGAGCAAGCTTATGCACATGGTAGGAGAGAAGCAGTTCGGCAATCGGTGATTACAGCAAGTGGTGATTCAGGTAACATACCTGAAGTGGTTTTGGCTTCCAAGAGTTTAACACACGGGCCAAACTCTTTATCTCATTCTGGACATCTCTCATTGATGGGTGGCAAATCACATGGTGTATCACACAAACAAAAAGGCAGCAGTGATGGAGAGAAATGTTCCCACTATGGGAATGCTAAACACACCCATGACAATTGTTTTAAGCTACATGGCTACCCTGATTGGTGGCATGACCTCCAAGTAAAATGGAAACGTGATGTAGCCAGCAATGAGGCCAATATTAGTAAGGTAGCAGTAGTTCAGGCAAAACTGCATATCTCCCTTATTCCAACAGAGTCATCACTCTCCAATTCAGGTATTGTTCTCCTTGGGTCTAATAGAAGTGCTGATTGCAATGCATGGATACTAGACTCTAGAGCCATAGACTATATGACATTTGATGCACAAGATTTTTATCATCATACTCCTCCTCAGAGGACTAGTATTGCCAATGCTAATGAGGTCATTTCTTCATTTGAATGGGATAGCACTGTGATGTTATCACCTTCCTTATCATTGTCCAATACCTTACTTGTACCCTCCATTTCTCACATCTGTATGTCAACATAC